CATTAGCAATCCATAATTCATCGCAAAAATGGCCTCTGTATTTATCTCTTTGCATTCATTACTACTTTAGTTTTTGCCACTTATTCATCTGTTTTTCCTTTTATCTTGTTTCTCTCCCTTCATCTCCCCCACATGCCTCAGAAATTACAGGTAATTAAATTCACATTAATAATGTTAGGCTTCGTGAACCCCACTCACAGCAATCACATTATGAATTAATGTGTTTAGATGGAATAAAAGGACCCTTCACTTTAAGTGCTTCAACTGTTTTTGTTGGCAATTTTTCTTCTTCACTTTACAAAGAGTAGATAAACATAACCGCTTTCTGCATCACAGTATATTTAATGACTTTTTTGTAAAGTGGAACAACATACTTTCATTGGAAAAAAAACTGAATGACAGGATTTATAGGCCTGTGTAAGATAGCACTCCTACATTATGCTATAGAAGTTGAGATTGTTGTAGGTCAAATGAACAGAGACCGCACTTCCTCCAGCTGTGTGAGCATCTGCTCTTTTGGGACAATCGATAAAAACAATTACAAACATGAGAGGGTTTTATGAAGTACAAACATCTTGTTAACTCAGAGCTGCTGACTTCCATTGCACAAGGGCAACCGTACTTCATAGTAAGATGCTTTGTGAATCAAATTAAATAAACTGAACTTGTAAGTGGTCATGTTGAGTGAAGAAATTGATTGACAGTTGGAATGCAAACTTTGACCAGTCCAATAGCAAAGCTGATAATGTGAGATGATAAGGTTTGGAATATGTTTATAAAACTATAACTCTGCCATGCTTCAGATCTAAATGTTGAAGTGTCATAGTGCAAAAAATATATGGGATAATGAATGCTGTTCTGCATCACAGGAGATATTAAATCAACATTTTCTTCTACTGAGTTTGACCCTGACTTTAACATTATGCAAACATGGATTCCAAACAAAGTTGATAGACTTCTTTTAAGAGAAATGTTTTGCCATCCAAAAAATTTTGATATATAGTGTGTCAACATTAGGCCGATAGTTGAGGCTCATTAGGCTCTGTAGTTCGAAATACAAAAATACATAAATTGCTCTTGTATTAGAGAATATTGTGTCAGTGTCAGTTGGAAAAATATGGGCATTTTAGTGCATTATTTTACTATTTTTGTGCATTATTTTAATAGATTTTATTGTATTTTTTATTTTGTATTTTATGTGTATTTTATGTTTTGCTAAATCATATATAGTGAAGAAATTGTGTTTTTTAACACAATGCATTATATAGTTTACCCAAAACTGAAAATTCTTAGAATTTTTATTTGTTAAATTCTTAGTATGGAAGTCAATGGCTACCGTCAACTGTTTGGTTACCAGCATTCTTTAAAATATCTTTTTTTGTGTATTTAACAGAAGAAAGAAACTCATGCAGGTTTGGAACAAATGGTGGGTGAGTATGGATACAGAATTTTCATTTTTGGGTGAACAATCCTTTTAAAAAAAAAATGTCCATACTTTTCTATGATCTGGAAATATAAAGAAGACTTTTTTGCAGAGTGCATGTTATCTGGGTAAGTCAATAAGACTAAGTCTGTGGTGATCTACTTTTTCTGTATTGATAAATATAGATATTTATAGCGAATTCTGTTTCCTATTGTCACACCATAATATGCCTATACTGCTGGAACCACGACCAATGACAGAGAGTTTACACAGTTCATTTTCTGCCTGGCCAGTCCTCTGCTGCGGTACACGGCCAGTTCAGAGACTGATCATCAAAACGAACACTCAGTGATGAAAGAACACTCATTCACTAAAAAGAGAGAGAGCATCCATGCATGGAGATTTCCAGCATCCATCCTTTCTCTCCTTCTGTGTCCAGATGGTGGTGTACATGTACTTTTTGTTCCATCCATCTGGAGACGTGATGTTGCTGGCTGGTGAGGGAAGCTAATTCTTCTAGAAAACACCTAATACCTTTATTGATTTGGCTAAAAATTGTACATCTTGGACCCTGTAGCACATTTTTATCATTAAATGAACAAAATGTACTGTAAAGGTATTGTGCAGTGATGGTATCAGATGGCAATACCATAGTACTTTGATATTAATTGTAATTTGATTTGTATGCCTAATTTACAAGAATGCTATGGTTCTACCATGTAAAAAAATGAAAGAAAAAAAACTGCTGACTTCCATTGCACAAGGGCAACCGTACTTCATAGTAAGATGCTTTGTGAATCAAATTAAATAAACTGAACTTGTAAGTGGTCATGTTGAGTGAAGAAATTGATTGACAGTTGGAATGCAAACTTTGACCAGTCCAATAGCAAAGCTGATAATGTGAGATGATAAGGTTTGGAATATGTTTATAAAACTATAACTCTGCCATGCTTCAGATCTAAATGTTGAAGTGTCATAGTGCAAAAAATATATGGGATAATGAATGCTGTTCTGCATCACAGGAGATATTAAATCAACATTTTCTTCTACTGAGTTTGACCCTGACTTTAACATTATGCAAACATGGATTCCAAACAAAGTTGATAGACTTCTTTTAAGAGAAATGTTTTGCCATCCAAAAAATTTTGATATATAGTGTGTCAACATTAGGCCGATAGTTGAGGCTCATTAGGCTCTGTAGTTCGAAATACAAAAATACATAAATTGCTCTTGTATTAGAGAATATTGTGTCAGTGTCAGTGGGAAAAATATGGGCATTTTAGTGCATTATTTTACTATTTTTGTGCATTATTTTAATAGATTTTATTGTCTTTTTTATTTTGTATTTTATGTGTATTTTATGTTTTGCTAAATCATATATAGTGAAGAAATTGTGTTTTTTAACACAATGCATTATATAGTTTACCCAAAACTGAAAATTCTTAGAATTTTTATTTGTTAAATTCTTAGTATGGAAGTCAATGGCTACCGTCAACTGTTTGGTTACCAACATTCTTTAAAATATCTTTTTTTGTGTGTTTAACGGAAGAAAGGAACTCATGCAGGTTTGGAACAAATGGTGGGTGAGTATGGATACAGAATTTTCATTTTTGGGTGAACAATCCTTTTAAAAAAAAAATGTCCATACTTTTAAAATATCTTTTTTTGTGTATTTAACAGAAGAAAGAAACTCATGCAGGTTTGGAACAAATGGTGGGTGAGTATGGATACAGAATTTTAATTTTTGGGTGAACAATCCTTTTAAAAAAAAAATGTCCATACTTTTCTATGATCTGGAAATATAAAGAAGACTTTTTTGCAGAGTGCATGTTATCTGGGTAAGTCAATAAGACTAAGTCTGTGGTGATCTACTTTTTCTGTATTGATAAATATAGATATTTATAGCGAATTCTGTTTCCTATTGTCACACCATAATATGCCTATACTGCTGGAACCACGACCAATGACAGAGAGTTTACACAGTTCATTTTCTGCCTGGCCAGTCCTCTGCTGCGGTACACGGCCAGTTCAGAGACTGATCATCAAAACGAACACTCAGTGATGAAAGAACACTCATTCACTAAAAAGAGAGAGAGCATCCATGCATGGAGATTTCCAGCATCCATCCTTTCTCTCCTTCTGTGTCCAGATGGTGGTGTACATGTACTTTTTGTTCCATCCATCTGGAGACGTGATGTTGCTGGCTGGTGAGGGAAGCTAATTCTTCTAGAAAACACCTAATACCTTTATTGATTTGGCTAAAAATTGTACATCTTGGACCCTGTAGCACATTTTTATCATTAAATGAACAAAATGTACTGTAAAGGTATTGTGCAGTGATGGTATCAGATGGCAATACCATAGTACTTTGATATTAATTGTAATTTGATTTGTATGCCTAATTTACAAGAATGCTATGGTTCTACCATGTAAAAAAATGAAAGAAAAAAAACCCCCATATGATACCTCAAATTGTGTGACTTTTTGAGCAGTGCTGTTGATTTTGACCAAAACAAAAACTAAAAATCATTTTTGTTAATTGAAAAACATAAAAGAAAATCAGAAATGTTGACTTGACAACTGAGACAAATATAATAAGCTGAAGTTAAAGTACTAGAATTACTAAAACTAAATCTGAAATAGATATAAATAAAAGCTAAATAGAAATATTAAACAACAAATAAAACGACAAAAGCACATTATGACTAAAACTTAAAAAAATAACTACAATTTAAAACAAAATAAAAATTACAACAGGAAATATCAAAATAAAAGCCAATTCACAATGTTTTTAAAAATACTACATTTAGTAAATAAATAATACTTCTGGTGCATCATTTAAATAGTGAATAAAATCCCATAAACTTGCATTGAAGTATGTATTTACATATTTACATATAACCAGAATACTAGGCTCTTTTGACTTTCCCCTGCAAGCAACCATCCAGCAACCACCTAGCGACTGCATAAAAAGTGCTAAAGACCACTCAGAACACCTTAGCAACCACCAATACCCTGGCAACCAACCTGAAGACCCCAGCATGACCCTATATACAGTGGTGTGAAAAAGTGTTGGCCCCCTTCCTGATTTCTTATTTTTTTGCATGTTTGTCACACTTTTGCGGTGAGTTTTGCACAGACAAGAACCATTCACATTTTCATTAGTAAATACACAAACCACCTAGGTATTGATTCAAATGATTCAAGCTTAAAAAGGACCACAGAGGTTATACTTAGATTTAAGATAATTTAAGGAATCACACAACAGATAAGAGCTCCCATGGGTCTGAAGGCATCGCTGTGTGAAACTATACACCCTTCTCCTCATGTGTCTGCGCTATATTGACCTCTCTGTGAAAGACAGACCTCTATACATCTGACTCACCTTCATTCTCAATGCTTCACTCATTTACCAAAATCCTCTCTATAGAAATCAGCCCTGCTTAACCCCTCCCTCTCTCCCTCTCACTATCTCTCTTCCATAACCTCCTCCCAAACTCGCTCTGTGATTGCAGTGATGTGTCAGTTATTCAAAGACCCCTGTCCTCCCTCCCCGTCCTCCTCAAGGGCTGCCTGGCTGGGCATCAGCGGTTAGGACGGATGGGGACCTGCAGCGATTTGTGAGGGTAAGAAAACCTCTTTGTCCGTGAGCTATCGGTCTTTATCTGATGGATCACTTCATTTATATTTAAGAGAGTGTTAAGTGAATTTTATAAATTGAGCATCAGTTGCAGTTACAGTTTTTGTTACTATGTTTTTTGCTGTATTAAATAGTGTAAATGCAGGTAAAGCGGGGCACTGTCTTTTTTAATATTTCTTTATATTGTATTGTAGTAGATATTTTTAGCTAGCCTATTTAAAATGGTATGAGTGTGTCAAGGGCTAAGCATTTGCAATCATATTTTTAAATTATGCCAACAATGAATTAGCAGAAAGTATCACACTTTCACAAAATTTCACAGTATCACAAAATGTAAATATACAGTAAAATGTAAAATTCAGAGTGAAATTCATCATGTCACTTAATTAATAATTAAAATTTATTAATTTATAATTTACTCCTTGAGACCGTGATAAGTGAATATACTTTGACATTTTTTTTTGAATTTTTTTTAAATATTTAATAAAAAGTATTTAACAATATATAAATACTATAAAACATAACTAGTATAAACTCTGTATGTGTGTTTATATATAAATGTATAATTTACTCCATAAAACCCTTGAGACTGTGATATGTGAATATATTTTATTATTATTTAATATATTTTTATTACAATTTTTTTTATATATATATAAAAAATGGTATACATTTTGATATATATTAATTTGATATTTTATTTATTAGTTTAATTTATACATATACAAATGTATGTTTATAAAAAAGTATTTAAAAGTTTATAAAATAGTAGGACTCCAAAACATCCAAATGCTCACAACAAAACAATAATTTTATTTATATTGGTACAATGTTTCCACTTCTATTTACACCCTCTTTAAAAAAAACAGCTTTTTAAAAACGAGTCTTAACTGGTTTGTTCTGGACATAAATCAGTTATTTGACGTGTTGTGTCCTCTGTGTTTTGTCATCTTAATATTTTCTCCAAGAACTACGGGATATTCAGAGGTCAGCTCTGGAAGTCATAAAGATCACTTCAAAAATGTGTGGCATTATTTGTGAGCGTCTTATGTAATCAAGAGACTGTGAATTTCAAGGTCTCTGTTTCTGTGTCCCTCTCATCTTCTCTTTTCCTTTTTTAGAAAACAATGAAACTTACACTCTTTTGCTTGCGTGTGCTGATATGGATGGTATTGCTATACCGTCGTCCTTGAGCTCATAACTATTGTCTCAGGTGTACCGGCCGAATATGAATAATTGAGCGTGTTCATTAGAGCAAAACGTCCATGGAGAGAGATCTGAAACCTTACACATTGACTCCCTGTACATCCCAGAATGGAAAACAGTGGCCATTTATACTGGAACAAAATGAGGTGATTACCCTTGAGACTGTGTAGATAGAGCCACAGTTCATTATTTGGTGAAAACATCTTTTTTCATTATTGTCTATACTGTTTGAACAGATATAGATGCTTGTATGGGTAGTTGCCCCGAGACAGCACATGTGAACTAAAGCAGTAATGGAAAACATTGCTGTTTGGCATTCACATAGTTGAGGCTTTAAGCTGCAATGTCATGCTTTCAGCTTAAACAGCTTGTACGAGTTATTTCATGTGAATCTTTTGAGACCCTAATTCTAGACGGTAGCCTCTGGATGGGAACTTTGGAAATCCCTGGTCATGGAATTAAGCTCTTGTTGCATATTTACATTTACATTTAGTTTTTTTAAATAAATAAATATGAGGACACAATGCAAGGCCAGTTAAGACTTTTGCATTAAGACTTAAATTGTGAATACAGAATGATTTTAACAAATTTTTTTTATTTGGCCATTATGTTTTCTTAACAAGTATAACTAATTTCACGATCCTGACTCTTGAATATGTGAACATTAGACATGTTTTAATAGCGTCTGATTTAAGTTAGCAAAAGTGATTCATTTCTGTGAATCATTTAAAACAAAATAAATTTAAAATAATTTAAAATAAAATTATCATAATAAATTATGTTCATGTCCCTGTGTGTATTTTTTTTTTGTATATTAAAACTGAGGAAATTAAGATTGAAGGTTGTATGTATTGTGATATTGTTGCATTTTAATGAAAAATATTAAATATAATCTTTCCTTTTGCCAATTTAGTGACAAAATGTGGAAAACATGCTATATTTTACTTCTTACATTGCTTGGCTTCACCTGAGTCAATAGTTCTGAGCTCAAGGATGATATAGGTATAACAATACCATCCATATCAGGACACGTGAGAAATAATGTTTTAATGACTGTTTGGTTGAAATTCTGAATCCTGCGACCGGAAAAAGCATAAATATTGAAATATACAAAATATATATCGCCACAATGCTAAAATATATTGAGATATATATTTCTAGTTATATCGCACAGCCTATAAAATTGTACTTTAGAAAATAAAAAAAAAGATTGGCAATGAGAAATAGGATAATATCCAAAGAGTTCCCTTAGGAAATGTGTGTATATTAAAGTCTTTCGCTAATGCACGAGAACAAGTTTCCTCTCCATAAAATCTAAACCTCGTCAGAAAATGTTGTTTCCACGTCATTTATAATGTTTGATATGCATATTGATCACATTCTTGAATCCAAAATCATCAGTTCCTTCATACTGAGAAGAGAGGCAATGAGCATTTGAACAGCATTGTAATCATAATCATAATTATTTTGATTTCTCAACTACTGTCCAGTTAACACAATTGATCTTTCCTTAGATACATGCTTTCACGCTTTGAATAATGAATAGAGTATTGGTGCTACCAGTGAACCCGACTTTTTTTTTTAACTAAATAGAGCCAGATTTTCACAGAGCAAGCAGCATGTCATATAAACACACTCAGACCCATATAAACACACACACACGCTACTCCTCATTCATTGTGAATCTCTTAAATGAGCGATGATTTATTTGTAGAGATATTTTCAGAAGGGAAAACAACATTAGTAGTGAAGTACTTAAAGCCTTTCAGGGAAAACCTCTCTTCTGTAGCCTAGCACACGCTCAGCTTTAGTTAAAGATTGATCGTTTATCAGCTTCTGTATCAAAACAACTACAGAGTAACAAAGAGCCATAAAAGTCTCATTGCAATATATGATGGAACTGTCTATGATAATGGGATTACGCTCCTCTGAAAGTGGAAATAATAAGATGCTTTTAGAATTTTACCATTGAGACGATACAAATCAACTTTTTAAAAACATTTGTGGATCACTATTAATGCTTTTCCTAATTTTTGCTCAAATTTAACGTTGTCTACATTTGTCAGTCTCAACCATTCAACCCTGTTGTTTAATATATTTAAAAAATTACGTTTGTATATAATATATGCATAATAATAATATAATATGTGTGCATATATCAAACCATTTACAGTCCTCTTACACATTGCGACAGGTGTATTTTTAATTATTTTATTAATTTTCATATTTATTTCATGTTATTGATAGAAAAAAGAAAAGTATCTTTTACTAAGTATTTGTTTTCTTAGACCATTTCTAAAACTATTTCAAGCATTTTTTTTTAATCGTATTCATTTAAATTTGTCATTTATATATTCATTTATGGGTCATACCCATTAGATATAATGTATTAAATGTTTTCCCACAACATAGTAACAAAATGTATTGTACTGCTTTTCCTAAATTAAATTTACTATAAATGTACATGAATGGAAAATGTAGGGAGGAATTGCTTTAGTCCAAATTGCTAAAGCAGTGACAAAGAGGACCCCACATAAATCCCCAGTAAGGCAAAGACAGATTAGTAATTATAAGGTGACAGAAGACCAATCATTCCTGCCTCGTCCAGTTCTTACTAACAGGGAGAATTTGCCCACATAAGCAGGACAGTTGATGAAGCAGCCTCATCATAGCAGGCAATCATGTTCCACAACATAAACCCTCTCTCATATTGTCTTTTTGCCAGGAGGAAAGAATGAATGGCTTATGAATATATGGCAGTTCAATTCCAATGACAACACAAAAACTGCACACTGCAAAGGCGAGATGCACAGTTTGACCATAAGAAAATCACCAAAGCACATTAGCAGAGTTGTCCGTTAGGGCTGTCAAAATGGCTGAAAAACTAATTACGAATTTTGTGCTTAAATATTATCAAAATTTGAATTATATTCACATTTAAAATGCATAATTTCAGTTAGGGTGAAGAAAAGATTTTGGCTTCTCTTCTGAGGCCACAAGAGGGCGCATCGTGCAAAATATTACTAATGCACATTTATTCAAAGCATAAGATAAAATGGCTATCTGTGAAAAAAGTGCATAATGTTTAAAATAATGTTTATAAACCAATTATAATTAATTAAGTTGCTTAAACAACTATAAACAAAACAGCATCATGTATGTATGCATAGTTTAATACAAAGGGCGGAAAGCCAATCACACAGAGTACATTTCTCATTTAAAAACGATGAGATGCAGTGGGATGGGGAAAAAATCCCGCCATAAAATCTCGATATATACGTTTTTTTTTAGTTAAACTTGCATTAATTTTACATGGCTTTCTAAACATGCGGCTCTTTTGTGCGAGACACGAGTGCAACGGTGATAGATGTCCCTCTAGAAAATGCGCGAAATATGTGTTCTGTGTGAACGGCTTGGTTTCAGTTTTGATGTAAACAAGATCTTCTCCGCATTGATGATCTCTTTTTCTGCAATATTTTTAATGAACAACGCAGCACTGTATATAGTGGCTTCAACTGGATAGGCTAACAAAAACATTATAATGCAACAACATTTACATCGTCATCGCACCTCGTGCCACTGATAAAGCTGCCTGACGCACACCTAAAATTCGAATGCAAAAACGTTGTGGATTTTTATTTTAAATTCGACGAATATTCAAAATTCAAATATTTTTTTGACAGCCCTATTGTCCGTAAAACTCAAAGATGTCATGAGGTCAAAGGAAATCTACAGAGCAAAACAATCATTTCCGCTCCCTGCACTGGGTCTGAAAGCAAATAAACATGTTTGGCACAGAGCTGATCACCTCATCCTCTCAGGAGGGGGCAGTTATGGGAGTAATCAAAGTTAAACAGAAGGAAAGGTAGAAAGATAAGACAAGTAAATGAAGGAGAGTGTTGTGCACTCGTTCCATCTGTCCCTAATTGACTGTTTTTAACCTATGAGGGCAAGCTGTCTCTGTCATTAACACAGTGACCCGGTGAAAGACCACCAGAGCACAGTAAAATTCCATGCAGAAATGCATTACACCTTCTCTTCTTCATTCTGCACTGCAGAATCTATGTGACATAAACACAATAAGGTTCATTTCATTGATTTCAGTTGTTAGGCAAAGGTTTTAGGTCATATTCCGATACTGTAGTTTTAAGGTTTCCTTCCTGTTCTCTTTCCTTTCACAAGAGGAACTAAGAGGCCATGATTGACTGGTACAATGGCACATCACCCGGCCAGCAGGTGGATGAGAGCAGCGCTCAGGAGAGGTCAGAGTGTGTGCTGGCTTACATCCCTGTCGTCTACTACAGTACTCTGTTGTGTGTTGGAGTGCCAGGTATGAGATGGGCATTTTAATACCTATAAACTTGGGTCAATTAAGATTAGGGTCGTGCGCCACTGAGAATTGAATTGAGAATGCATATTAAGTTAAGAATTGGGTAGCAATCAATATGCAATTTTGGATTTAATTTAGGGAAGTATGATGGAATGGATTGAAAAATTGAATGAAAATCACCATGGCACATAAACTGTTCTAAAATATTCATTTTTGGCACATGGGAAATTGATCTTCATCACCTTGAGTCCTTTGATGGAGGAAGATCATGGCAAATTCATTCTGTGAGACACACATCAGACCAGACTAGAAAACATTAAGTATCCACAAACATTTTACTACACCAATCCTGAGAGAGACTGGCAACTGCTTGAGGACAAGAAAGGAGATCAATAAACCAATCAATACAAATGACAATTAATTAGAGACTCATTTGAAAGCCCCCCATAAACTGCTACTATAAATCAGATCAGGGTCACAGACAGATGATTGGTGTTCACAACAGTCCATTCAAATCAGTTTACTAGCTGTCTAATATAAGATCTCTCTAGTTCACCCATAAATGAAAATTCTGTCGTTTTTACTTACGCTCATGTCATTCTAAACTTATAAGACCACAAAAGCAGACATTTTGAAGAAAATTTCAAATGTTATTGTCCATACAATCAAAGTCAAAAGGGTCTGAAACATCATTGTATGGACACAAAAATACTGAAGTATTTTTCATAATATTTTTTTATGTTCCAAAAATAACAGCATATGGTTTTGGAACAACATGAAAGTGAATGAGAAGAAATCATATTTTCATTTTATTGGATTCAGTTGAGTTAAATTCTCCATAGTTTTATCCATTCTGCTGTCTGGAGACATGTCTTTTCTATAAATAGTTTTACTATAAAAATCTTTAAAAACCCTTAAAATACACTTATCTCTTGTTGTTTCAACCAGTAAAAACAGCACAAATTCACTTGAGTTTAATCTTTTCTTTGTGGAAAATCAGGGCAAAGGTTCCCGTGGGTCGCCATGTTCTGTAAATATGACCCCTAATCTTTTACTTCCCATCAATCTTGCTGTGTCAACTCCCTCCATGTCCTTGATTTCTATCTCCGTCTTCTGCATCTCCCTTCTCTGGCTTCATTCCCTAACTGTTTAAGCCTTGTTCATCCTCCTCTACCTCAATCCTTCTTTCTAATTCCTGTTGTCTCCTTTCCCTAGTGAACATCCTGACGTTGGTGGCTCTTTACCGGCTGGCTGTTCGTACTCAGAAGGCCCTGTATGTGTATCTTCTTGCGCTAACTGGCTCGGACATCCTCAGCCAGCTATTCATCATCTTCGTGGGCTTCCTGTTGGAAACGGCTGTGTTTCACCGAGACGTTCCTGTGCTGCTGCTGAGGTCAGTCAGTATGATGGAGTTTTCTGCCAATCATGCATCTATCTGGGCTACCGTTCCCCTCACGGTGGACCGCTATGTCGCTTTGTGCCACCCGCTACTTCATCGGCAGATCAGTTACCCAGCACGGGCTCGGCGGATCATTGCAGTGGTGCTCACATTAGCGCTGGCATCCGGCGTGCCGTTCTTCTGGTGGTCAGACATGTGGAGGGTCAGCCGTGCGCCCAACAGCTTGGATACCGCCTTGATTTGGACCCACGTGACTATTATTTACTTCCTTCCGTGCTGCATCTTCCTGGTACTAAACTCTTTGATCATCCTGAGGCTCCGGAAGAGACAGCGGCAGCAGATGTGCCAAGACGAAAGCGGGCAGCAGCTGGCAGTGCCAAGCAAGCTGGGTAAAACCACAGCTATGCTCCTAGCAGTGACTTCTGTGTTTGCTGTCCTGTGGGCGCCTCGTACCGGAGTGGTGCTCTACCATCTCTACGTGTCATCGGTGCACAACGATTGGCGGGTACATCTAGCATACGACTTAGCCAACATGTTAGCCATGCTAAACACTGCTGTGAATTTCTTTCTGTACTGTTTTGTCAGCAAACCCTTTAGAGGGGCAGTGAGGGATGTCCTGTTGTTCCGGGGGGCGCCTTTGCACCCACGCCACCCCCTACATTACCAGCGCAATGCTACCAATGCCTCCACCTCTTCTATTTCCAGCTCCAAACGTTCCCAGCGAGAGGTCACCCCTCTCTCTCCCAAAAGGGCAGACATCAAGATATAGTCCTGCTTAAAGGGAAAGTTCACTTAAAAAATGAAAATTCTGTTATCGTTTAATCACCCTCATGTTGTTTTAAACCTGTATGACTTTTCTTATTGTCCATACAGTGAAAGTCAATAGGGTACACTCTTAAAAATAACGGTGCTAGACGATGCCATAGAAGAACCTTTTTGTCTAAATGGTTCCATAAAGAAACTTTAACATTTGAAGAACCTTTTCTGTTTCATAAAAGGTTCTTTGTGGCGAAAGAAGGTTCTTCAGATTATAAAAAAGGTAAAAAAGAGATGGTTCTTTAAAGAACCTTTGACTGAATGGTTCTTTGTGGAAAACCAAAAAATGGTTCTTCTATGGCAGTGTTTCTCAACCCTGGTCCTGAGCGCCCCCCAACACTGCACATTTTGTATGTCTCCCTTATCTGACACCCATTTCAGGTCCTGGAGTTTCTTTTAATGAGCTAATGAGTTGAATCAGGTGTGTTTGATTAGGGAGACACACAAAATGTGCAGTGCTGGGGGGCGCCCAGGACCAGGGTTGAGAAACACTGTTCTATGGCATCGCCGTGAAGAACCTTTTAAGCACCTTTATTGTTAAGAGTGTACAATGTGGTTTTGGACCCCATTAAATATAATTATTTTGACAAAAAAAAACACTGAAATATTCTTTGGAGTAGCTTCTTTGGTGTTCTGAAGAAGAAAGAATACAGCTTTGAAGTGAAAGTTTAAGTCATTTTTGGGCAAACTATCATTTAAGCCCCAACAAAAGCATGGTGTTGTTCTTAAAATGAAGTTGAATACACTCTAAAAAATGCTGGGTTAAAAAGGGACAAACCCAGCTATTGGGAACTTTTTCGCCTTCATGCAAAACTCCTAATGGCACAGATTTCTATTGCATTGACTGGATTTCGGCCGTGAAATTTCACCAAGCAACAGACCACAGTGTAATTGTGCGTGATTTGGCGTCTCCAACAGAATAGAAAAAACACTGCCTTGTTTCCCACATAATAAAATATCCTCATAATGATCTGTCTAGCATCCGTTAATGCTAATGTGCACCACAGGTACTGTTAATCTGAATGCTGTTTTATCTGACCTCTGATTAGTGACCTGAGAGATCACCGTTTACGGTCATTAAACAAAAGCCCAATAATATTAACGTTGTCTTGCTGATAAGACAAGTAAGCTTTGCAGGACATCATGGATATCAAGACATAACCATTCCAGAAAAGATTGTATTTTGTTCTGCAGAGCTTACTTGTCTTTTGCACTGATCTGCATATCTGTGTTATTTATTGTCCTGTCCTCTGCGGGGATAAGAAATCATACTACAGTATTTATGAAACAAAGATATTTGGCTCATGTCTTGTCATTTTCCATAAATGGCTATCCTTTTAAGGAATAGGTTGAAATATGAATATTCCGTCATCATTTATACACCTTTGTGTCGGTCCAAACCTGTAAGACTTACTTTCTTCTGTGAAACACAGGTTGGTGGAACACACTTTTCTATATAAGGAAAGTAAATGGTGATGTATACTATCAAGCACCACAGTGACAAAAAAAGCAGCATAAAAGTATTGTAAAACTGTTGCATATTGTAAAAGATTATCAAGGTGTTTTAAAGCCATTAGATAGCTTTGTGTGAGAAAAGGCTGAAATTCAATTCATTATATGAAAAGCCATATGTTTCTTTAAATTTGCATTCATTCAAATATGACACTAATACATATTACATAAGTTTTGACATCTATGATGATAGTCATGTCACATTGACATCAAAAACAGGACGAGTGGTCCAGACAGTTCAAAAATAGGTTATAGAGGTTTGGAATAACATAAGGATGAGTAAATGATGACAGTTTTGTTTTTTTTGAGTGAACTATTCCATTTAATTGTTGTATTTTAATATTGTAAGAATGTGTCATGTATTTAGTGTTTTTATAAATGTTGCTGATATTGCAGATGAATGAAGTTCTTTAAACACATACAATAGTGTTTCATTAACAGACTTGTCTCATTAATTTATGATCTATCATTCCAGACTATAAAATATTTTTATTGGTAGATTTGAAGCCATCTGAAATCTAGCTTAGCGGTTTATTTTCAGTGCATGGCGACTGGATGAGGCTTTAAAAGGGGCTTCGTGGGAACACAACGAGTGAAGACACCACTATACAAACAGACCCATCTGAGGAGCTCAGGCTCTGCTGAACAAAGCCAGCCTTGAGCTTCTGTGCACCCATGCAGCAACAGGAAAAATTTCCATTTGCTAGAATTCACCAGGATCACCAGAGATGTGCTGGGGTCAGTTATATTACTCTGTAATTTGTTATCTGATCAGATATCGTCCAGTACTTGCCAGCGTGTACTTAAGGAGAACAGATTCAGATCTTCAGCTTCAGCTCAATCTAAATGCAATGAAAAATGTGGTATGATTACCAAAGTCTTGATGTTTTTACGTACAAACTTGCCAGCTGTATATAAAATGTTTGTTTTTTTTACTTTAAAAGCATGTGCGTCGATTTTCCTGTCGAGTTTAATCTGAATAAATTTGATGGAAGAGAGTCTGCAAGAATCAATTATATTAGTCCTTGACTGTACAAATGATAATTAAATGTGTTTAGAAGACCTTTTTATGACTAATGATTTAATGAAGTACGCGTTTGACTAAAAGGTACATTGAAAGCTTTGATTTAATTAATCTGGTGAATTAGAGAGGAACATTTTTAACCTTTTGGTCTGAAAAAAGAAAAAAACACTAACTCACTTATTATCTGGAGCTTTGGTTATGAACTCTTCACTTGTCCTTTTAGTTCACTTGTGTTTCTCAGCACCCAGTGTTGCATCCTGTGTCTCTTTCCTTTCTTCTTTCTTGATCTCTCTCTCCCTTCTCAATCATGAGAGGGAGCCTCTGGCCCTGCAGATGTTATCAGATGTTGTCTCTTTGAAAAAAGTCCCCCGCTGCATCACAAACACAGATGCCTGAGAAGAAAGCACATCTATCGTTAAAGCCTTAATACGAGCAGACGGCTGACAGCACAAGAAAGAGTCTGAATATTTAAGGCAATAAATAACCTGCTCTGTTTGAGGTTAGCTTTAGATTTGCTTAGCCTTGTGCTGCAGCTGCAGAAGATTGTTTTGTCCTTGCTATGCATGCATTTTGCAGCTTTACCTACATTACATCTGTTAAGGTTAACATGAAATGACATTCATAACCCTCTACACTGAAAAAAAATTTGGTGGAGGATTTACTCACAATTTTCACTCAGAAATTGCTAGTAAATTTCACAGATAATTACAAAGAAATGGCAAATAATACACTGAATAAAACATGCAATTTAGAAGTGGAAAGACTGAAATAGTATTTTCTTGTTAAACGTACTCCAATATTTTTTAATAAGTCAATAAGCCTTGAAAAATACTTTTGGAATTGATTGGATTATGAAATATAGGAGTTTTATGCCAGAGTTTGCTGTCAGTTTCAAGAGGTTAAAATGTGGCTGGTTAGTGTGAAACTAAAAGTAGCAATGTTTTCTAACTAAACTGGCTCAAAAATATCTGTGGTTCCCATAAGCAAGGATGACAGATGGCACTCAAATCACTAAGATTAAGACTTTATTATTTTTTTTTTTTTTAACTTTACTTTTTATTAATGTGCACTAAAGCATGCACAATAAGACCAAGAATGTATTAAGAAAATAAATGGGGTTGAAACAAGTGATTTCATGTTGACTTAAATGGTTTTAAATACAGCAGATCAATTAATGAAATTAAAACCAATGGTGATGTCTGGCAGATTAGAACTGCCTACCTGTTTCATCACTTATGTAATGTGATATACTGTATTTTGCCATGAAGTGATATTTCATTTGTGAAATATGACTTAAACTTGCGCACTAAACATGTTTCTGTGTGATGTGGTGTAAGAGGATAACTGCAGAACAGAAATCCCCACAAAATGGCATGTGGCACTTGCATGATACTTCCTGTGGTTGCATTGTTGTTCGTGGTTTACATTGTGACACACAAGCTTTCCTTTGTTTGTGTTATTAAATATGTGCACTGACAACTGATAAATTGTTTTTGCATTTTGATCATACCTGGAAATTAAATGTCTATGAGGATCTATTTATGTATCTGGAGTCCTTAAAAATAAAAGCACTCAAACTTGAAGCTCTGTTGCATTTCAATGATGGAGACATTCCAAATTCAAGCCTATAAAATCAGTTGATACGTGCTGAGGTTTCTTTTACTTTTTTTCTTCCTTTCCTTCTTGTTGTCAAAAAAGGAAAGAAAACACACTGTGCAATAACTACAGTATCCTGTTATGTGCGCAGAACACATTCACACCTCACACTCCAACAGCACACCAGACAGGAAAACAAACAATGAGTCTGCTAGCACTACCTCCAGTATATCATAATTGTAACAGAAATGGACAACGCCCTCTGTATACAATACAAATCTACAGAATTGGTCCATGTCAGAGTTGGAAACGTCTTGAAAAAAATGTGTCTTTTTAAAATGTATGCAAATTATATAATATCCAAAGTACACATTTCTAGTAATTGTGCAGTTAATTCTCATATTGTTTTTTCAGAAAGTTTTGAAATATTTGTCCTCTCCCCAAATTTGTCACTGCTGGGATAATGTACAGTACATGTGGAAAAATATCAAATAAACTAGCTAGATTAATCTGTAGAAAACGTGACCGGTGAATGAGACGAATAGGCCATGTTTATATGATTTGCCACTAGGTGGCAATGTACACACACTTTTAGAAATATAATTCCCACAGAATTAAGTTTTGAACCTGTTACTTTTCTGCTTGCAAATGTGAAACGTAGATAAACATAAATATCAATTTGTAATATCAATTTAGGTTTGTAACATT